CAACCAACAGTTATAATTAAAGAGATCTACCTTCAAAAAACAGTCTCCAGTTCCTCTCCACTTGCAATTGGGTGCACGAAGAGCAGGAACTTCCCATTTGTAATTCCATTTCCTCTTGAATAAGTTGTCAACCTCTCCTTGAGATAATTTATATTCCAAGTGACTGCTGAATGTACTACAAGTTCAGAAACCTCAAGTTAGGTATATAGACAGTTCTTGCGTCCCATATATTTTCGGTGGGGGTAGAACATCGTATTAGAATGCAGAACAGTTGTTGCACTGGTTCCAAAAGGAATAGGAAAACATGTTAAAAATGTTAAAGACCATCTACATTGAAAAACATGTAAAAGATCGCCCATGAAATTCTATACTTGTGTTCGATTAATTTCTTAGTCAGGTATAAATTCCTTGCAATCATTCAAACTAGGAAATTACAAGGTTTCTCGTACAGTGCAAAGTTTACAACCAAAAAAAAAAATATATATATATATATATATAAGAAAAGTCTCGTTGTAGAAACGCGAATAGGAAAAGCACAACTTCAAAACAAATTTATCACTTTCCTTGGAGATTTAAATTTATTCAAAACGAGATAATGTAGTACAAAGTCATGAATATCATATGCCTATAAATAATTCAGATTGGACTATTCCAGAAGAAAAAATAGAACATATTTATAGAATAGGCCCTTTAGATTTCAAAACTGCTTTATCAGTTAAAACTCATGAAGAAACCATATCTCTTCAAGAAGAATATCAATCTATTCAACTATTAAATCATAGCACAATTCAAAAATATTTAAGAAAAGAATATCGATATATTCATATAGGTTTAATACAGATTGCTGTAAAACCTTTATTCCATCTAGGAGTTGATGCTCCAATATATTTAGCATTAAGAGATACTAGAATAAAAAGATATAAACCTTCTTTATTATCAATGATTCAAACAAATGTTTGTAATGGACCAATATATTTTAACTGTGCTCCAAATTTTTCAATAGACTTAACGGATCCACACATTTTGAATTCAGTCATATTAGATATTCATCTACAAGGAAATGAATTTGAAAAACATACAAAGAATTTTGCAATAATATACAGATTATATTATAGACCCTTATCATCTCATTTAAATCCCAAATTTATAATGACTCCAACCCTTAAAGAAGAAACAACTTTATTACAAGTAGATGCAGATAGACCTACAACTTATACTCCGAAAAGATTAAAATGGAATGAAATAACTATACCAAGTGAATTTGAAATCAAAAACCCACAAATAGCAAGAAATATAGAACAAACTACTGCTGAAGATATTATAGAAAAACCTGATGGAAACACTTTAATAAGATTTGCTTCATTAAGAGAAAGACCCAGTTCAAGTTATTTATGGATACCAACTAGACATTCTAACTATGAATCTACTGAGATAAATTTTCCTGTAGAAAATACTTCAACTTTCAAATATAAAACTCCTGTTCCAGAAGTTATAAATCAAAATCAATCAGATTATTCCCCGACTCATTCACAAATGAAAGGAGAAATAAATGTTATAATTAAACCATATAAAGTAAATCATAAATATTTACAAGAAGATTTTGATGATGAAGATCAATCAATTCAACTATTAAATCATAGCACAATTCAAAAATATTTAAGAAAAGAATATCGATATATTCATATAGGTTTAATACAGATTGCTGTAAAACCTTTATTCCATCTAGGAGTTGATGCTCCAATATATTTAGCATTAAGAGATACTAGAATAAAAAGATATAAACCTTCTTTATTATCAATGATTCAAACAAATGTTTGTAATGGAAACACTTTAATAAGATTTGCTTCATTAAGAGAAAGACCCAGTTCAAGTTATTCATGGATACCAGCTAGACATTCTAACTATGAATCTACTGAGATAAATTTTCCTGTAGAAAATACTTCAACTTTCAAGTATAAAACTCCTGTTCCAGAAGTTATAAATCAAAATCAATCAGATTATTCCCCGACCCATTCTCAAATGAAAGGAGAAATAAATGTTATAAGTAAACCATATAAAGTAAATCATAAATATTTACAAGAAGATTTTGATAATGAAGAAAATACTGAAAAAAGAATTTGGTTTTTTCAATTAGAATCAAAATATAAAGAAAAATTAATACTAGAATGGAAAGAGGAATTAGAAAAAAGAAAATTTGATTTTCCTTTCTTTACCTGGTTATCATTTTACATTTCAAAAATAGGAATTAATGATGTTTATAATACTTCTCAAATAAATGTTCAAACTAATTTATATAAAAAATGGAAATTAAAAGACGATCAAATATTAACTTCAATTCACCCCCCATTACAAGAAGTAAAAATTAATATAGGACAAGGAGAAATTATAGCCTCACCTTTTAAAAAAGGAAGAGAAGTTGAATCAAGTACAAATAATTCAATAAACCTAGAAGATATTAAAAAGGTTTATCAACAAAATAATTATACAAATCAAATTCTACATACGATATCTCAACATATGGAAATATTAAATACAAAAATTGACACTCTAAAGAAATCAGATTCAAAATTCCCAAATGATATATCAGCACCTCATTTCCAACCTAGAAGTTTGACAAGAGAAAAAGAGCAAGATTTAGTACAAAGTATTAATAATCAAAAAATAAATACTACAGATAATTTATTAAATAAAATATCTAATGCATTACAAAATCTAACTACAGATTCTAACCAACAACACCCAAAATAAATACATTAGATCAAATAATAGAAGAAAATTCTACAGAAGAATTAGAAGATTTATCAGAAGAATCAAGAGATTCAGATATAGAAGAAAATATACTTTTACCAATAGAAAACCAATTTGAAGAAGAAGATAATCAAATAAATCGAATAAAAAGAAGGAATTATAATAATAAAAATTGGAAAATAGTAAGTTCAAAAAATTATTATCCTAGACCAAGTCCTCCAGATATTCAATATGAAGAAAGATCAAAATTTAGAACGACTAAATATGACGGAGATTCAATATATGAATGGAATATCGATGGTAAAGCTGAATATGAAGTATTAAATAATTTACAAGAAATGGGAATGGCTAGATTAGCTTATAAAATTAAAAATATTCAAGAAAGAAATATTGCAACTTTACTAGTTTCAGGATTTACTGGACAATTAAAGAATTGGTGGGATAATGCTTTAACATTACAAGATAAATTATCAATACTAGATCATACTCAAGAAATAGAAGATGATCAAGGAAATATTCAAATACAATCAGATGCTGCAGAATTTTTAATTGTAACAATAGTTATGTATTTTATAGGAAATCCAAAAGAGGAATTAAATTCTAATAAAACATTTTTAACAAATTTAAGATGTCCAACTTTATCAGATTTTAGATGGTATAAAGATATGTTCTTAACAAATGTATTAAGAAGACCAGATTGTAATGCTTCATTCTGGAAAGAAAGATTCATAACTGGATTACCAAGCTTATTTTCACAAAGAATAATGGATAATTTACAAAAGGAAATGGGAACAGATGTCATTTCATTCGAAAATATTACTTTTGGACAATTATTTGCTTTTGTGAAAAAAGAAGGATTAATGTTATGTTCAGAATTAAGATTACAAATAAAATATGGATCAAAACAGAAAGAAGTAGGATCATTCTGTGATGCATTTGGAATTAAAAGAATTAAATCACCATCAGCATACAAAAAGAAAGTTAAAAAATACTCTAAGAAAACAAGGTATAAAAACTCTAAAGAAAATGAACCAACTAAAAAGAGAAAATTTATTAAAAAGAAAATTGTTTGTTATAAATGTGGAAGAATAGGACATAAAGCAAATAAATGTAAACTAAAAGAAAAAATAAATGAAATTTGTGTAAACGAAGAAGAGATAAAAAATAAATTAATAAATTTATTAATAAATGAAAAAGAACAAAATATAGAAGATGATTATTTAGATGATATTTCCAGTTCAGACAGTGAAGAAGATTGTAATTGTACTCCAAAATATATCAATGTAATAACTAAAAAAGAAGATAAAGAATTTTTACTAGATATAATAGAAAAAATTGACGATCCAATAGCTAAAAAAGAATATTTGGAAAGATTAAAAAGCTTAATTATTCAAGAAGATAAAATGCCAAAGATAATAGAACCTTTTAGCATATCAAAATTAATAGATAAATATCCAAATATAAATGTAATGAAGAAAGAAACTACTAAAGATCTTCAATCAGAAATTAATAATCTTAAAATACAAGTAAAACAATTACAACAAGAAATAATAGAATTAAAATTAAAAGATTTAGAAATAGAATCAAAATTAACATTAATAAATAATAATCAACCTTCAACCTCTAATACCAAAACAGACGAAATATCAATAGCAGAAAATCCAGTAAAAGAAGACCAATATATAAATATTATAGAAAGAATGATTTTTCAAAAATGGTTTGCATTAGTAACTATTACAGTAGAAGATTTCAAAGAAACATTTGTAACTCTTATAGATAGTGGAGCTGATACAAGTTGTATTAAGGAAGGAATAATTCCCACTAAATATTGTGAAAGAACAAAAGAAAAACTAATGGCAGCAAATGGACAAGATTTAGAAGTAAAATATAAATTTACAAAAGGTTCAATATGTAATAATGAATATTGTATTAAACATAATTTCATAATTGTAAACAATATAAATCATGATGTAATATTAGGTACACCCTTTTTAATTCAAATATATCCATTTGTAGTAAGTCATGAAGGAATTTCAGTAAATATAATGGGAAAAATTATTACCTTCAAATTTTTAACTCCAATAAGACAGAAAGAACTACAAACCTTACAAACATCTTCAATATATAAAACAATAAATACCATTACTAAAGTACAACAACAAATAAATTATATTAAAGAAGAAAAATCTTATTTAAAAATTGAAGAACAATTAAATGATATTAAAATACAAAAAAGAATATCAGAATTAGAAGAATTATTTCAAAAAGAAATTTGTGCAGATATTCCTAATGCTTTTTGGGATAGAAAACAACATATGATAGAATTACCTTATGAAAAGGACTTTGAAGAAAAGAATATTCCAACAAAAGCTAGACCAATACAGATGAATTCTGAATTACTAGAATTTTGTAAGAAGGAAATAAAAATATTAATAGAAAAAGGATTAATAACACCTTCAAAATCACCTTGGAGTTGTGCTGCATTTTATGTCATGAATCAAGCTGAAAAAGAAAGATGAGTTCCAAGATTAGTAATAAATTATAAACCTTTAAATAAAGTATTACAATGGATTAGATATCCTATTCCTAATAAAAAAGATTTGCTCAATAGATTATTCAATGCAAAAATATTTTCCAAATTTGATATGAAATCAGGATATTGGCAAATAATAATAGACCCAAAAGATAGATACAAAACAGCATTTACAACACCTTTTGGACATTATGAATGGAAAGTTATGCCATTTGGATTAAAAAATGCACCATCAGAATTTCAAAATATAATGAATGATATTTTCAATCCTTACAGCTCATTCAGTATAGTATACATAGATGATGTATTAATATTTTCAGAATCAATAGAACAACATTTCAAACATTTAAGTATATTTTTAAAAGTAGTCAAGAAAAATGGATTAGTTGTTTCCGCCCCAAAAATGAAATTATTTCAAACTAAAGTAAGATTTTTAGGACATAATATATATCAAGGAACAATAAAACCAATTAATAGAGCTTTAGAATTTGCTACTAAATTTCCAGATGAAATAAAAGATAAAACTCAATTACAAAGATTTCTAGGATGCTTAAATTATATAGCAGATTTCAAAGTTTTTTGAAATTTTAATAAAATTTCATGGTATCGTGGTAATAAATTAAAGTGGTATCTTGCTAAATAAACACATTAGACCAAATAATAGAAGAAAATTCTACTGAAGAATTAGAATCTGTAGTTAGATTTTGTAATGCATTAGATATTTTATTTAATAAATTATCTGTAGTATTTATTTTTTGATTATTAATACTTTGTACTAAATCTTGCTCTTTTTCTCTTGTCAAACTTCTAGGTTGGAAATGAGGTGCTGATATATCATTTGGGAATTTTGAATCTGATTTCTTTAGAGTGTCAATTTTTGTATTTAATATTTCCATATGTTGAGATATCGTATGTAGAATTTGATTTGTATAATTATTTTGTTGATAAACCTTTTTAATATCTTCTAGGTTTATTGAATTATTTGTACTTGATTCAACTTCTCTTCCTTTTTTAAAAGGTGAGGCTATAATTTCTCCTTGTCCTATATTAATTTTTACTTCTTGTAATGGGGGGTGAATTGAAGTTAATATTTGATCGTCTTTTAATTTCCATTTTTTATATAAATTAGTTTGAACATTTATTTGAGAAGTATTATAAACATCATTAATTCCTATTTTTGAAATGTAAAATGATAACCAGGTAAAGAAAGGAAAATCAAATTTTCTTTTTTCTAATTCCTCTTTCCATTCTAGTATTAATTTTTCTTTATATTTTGATTCTAATTGAAAAAACCAAATTCTTTTTTCAGTATTTTCTTCATTATCAAAATCTTCTTGTAAATATTTATGATTTACTTTATATGGTTTACTTATAACATTTATTTCTCCTTTCATTTGAGAATGGGTCGGGGAATAATCTGATTGATTTTGATTTATAACTTCTGGAACAGGAGTTTTATACTTGAAAGTTGAAGTATTTTCAAATTCATTTCCTTGTAGATGAATATCTAATATGACTGAATTCAAAATGTGTGGATCTGTTAAGTCTATTGAAAAATTTGGAGCACAGTTAAAATATATTGGTCCATTACAAACATTTGTTTGAATCATTGATAATAAAGAAGGTTTATATCTTTTTATTCTAGTATCTCTTAATGCTAAATATATTGGAGCATCAACTCCTAGATGGAATAAAGGTTTTACAGCAATCTGTATTAAACCTATATGAATATATCGATATTCTTTTCTTAAATATTTTTGAATTGTGCTATGATTTAATAGTTGAATTGATTGATATTCTTCTTGAAGTGATATGGTTTCTTCATGAGTTTTAACTGATAAAGCAGTTTTGAAATCTAAAGGGCCTATTCTATAAATATGTTCTATTTTTTCTTCTGGAATAGTCCAATCTGAATTATTTATAGGCATATGATATTCATGACTTTGTATTACATTATCTCGTTTTGAATTTGATCCTATTTTTAATTGTCTAAAAAATGCAGCCATGTTTATTATTTTAATTAAATTTTTACCTAGACGGGAACAACCGAGCACTATGCCTGGAACATCCTTTTCTGGACTTACCAACGGACTAACAAGGCCTCAAGTCTTACCAACGTTTTCAGTAAAAGTTTAATAAAATAAATGATCATAAATGCATGAAATAGATAATTTAAATAGAGACTAAATTCAAAGTTAGAAAATGTAAAGACGAAGTCTAAATATGCTTATGCAAATAAGGGTGTGGCTCTGATACCACTTCTACCCAGGACTTTGCAATTAATCATATACGTTAACTAGAAGCAAATATTGTAGGGACTTAGAATGTAATAAACATAAATAGTTGGACTTACTTTTGATTGTTGAGTGCCTAACGGAAGCTTGTAATGAATTCCAACCTTGAAGACTTTATTGTAATGATGAAATCCACTTCTACAAAGACTTTGGAGTACAATGGTTATTTAGAGTGAGTGGGAATAGTAGGAGAACTTCGGAGTGAGTGGTAATCGTAGGAAAACTAAGACAAGTCTATTACAACTTCTGATATTTCTTCGCCGATGCCTGTCTTCTGAATCTTGAATCTATTTATAGAGGCTCGATTCTGCATTTCATTTGAATTTTGCTTTCATTTGTGGTGGCCGACATTCTTTTTCAAAAGTCGTTTGGATTTTGTCCACCGATGGGATCATCAAAAGGATCAAAAGTAGATTCGGATGATCCTGCTGGCTCCTCTATTTTGTCTTCTTCTTTTGGCTTTTGTAAATAATTCAAATATTCTTTCAGCATCTCGGGGTTCTGCATAATTTGCTTTATCAAAAAGTTACTGGCTGTTTCTTCGGATGCCATTTCCGTCACTTTTTCTTTGTCTCTTTTTGGAGTGACTGGTGTAGTGGGTGGAATGATTGTTGACTGTCTTGTCTCCTTTTGAGTAGTGGTAGTAGCTGTCCACTTTAATTTGTCTCCAGTGGTCAGGAATCTGATCACATTAGTTTGATCGCCAAATTCTTGATTGAATCCAGTCCACCATTTTATTTTGAATTCTCTTACCAATGACATTGGCAGAGGTTTTTCCAATACAAGCAAAACAATTACAACAAGAAATAATAGAATTAAAATTAAAAGATTTAGAAATAGAATCAAAATTAACATTAATAGATAATAATCAACCTTCAACCTCTAATACTAAAACAAACGAAATATCAATAGCAGAAAACCCAATAAAAGAAGACCAGTATATAAATACTATAGAAAAAATGACTTTTCAAAAATGGTTTGCACTAGTTACCATTACAGTAGAAGATTTCAAAGAAACCTTTGTAGCTCTAATAGATAGTGGAGCTGATACAAGTTGTATAAAAGAAGGAATAATTCCCACAAAATATTGTGAAAGAACAAAAGAAAAACTAATGGCAGCAAATGGACAAGATTTAGAAGTAAAATATAAATTTACAAAAGGATCAATATGTAATAATGAATATTGTATTAACATAATTTCATAATTGTAAACAATATAAATCATGATGTAATATTAGGTACACCCTTTTTAATTCAAATATATCCATTTCTAGTAAGTCATGAAGGAATTTCAGTAAATATAATGGGAAAAATTATTACCTTCAAATTTTTAACTCCAATAAGACAGAAAGAATTACAAACATTACAAACATCTTCAATATATAAAACAATAAATACCATTACTAAAGTACAACAACAAATAAACTATATTAAAGAAGAAAAATCTTATTTAAAAATTGAAGAACAATTAAATGATATTAAAATACAAAAAAGAATATCAGAATTAGAAGAATTATTTCAAAAAGAAATTTGTGCAGATATTCCTAATGCTTTTTGGGATAGAAAACAACATATGATAGAATTACCTTATGAAAAGGACTTTGAAGAAAAGAATATTCCAACAAAAGCTAGACCAATACAGATGAATTCTGAATTACTAGAATTTTGTAAGAAGGAAATAAAAATATTAATAGAAAAAGGATTAATAACACCTTCAAAATCACCTTGGAGTTGTGCTGCATTTTATGTCATGAATCAAGCTGAAAAAGAAAGAGGAGTTCCAAGATTAGTAATAAATTATAAACCTTTAAATAAAGTATTACAATGGATTAGATATCCTATTCCTAATAAAAAAGATTTGCTCAATAGATTATTCAATGCAAAAATATTTTCCAAATTTGATATGAAATCAGGATATTGGCAAATAATAATAGACCCAAAAGATAGATACAAAACAGCATTTACAACACCTTTTGGACATTATGAATGGAAAGTTATGCCATTTGGATTAAAAAATGCACCATCAGAATTTCAAAATATAATGAATGATATTTTCAATCCTTACAGCTCATTCAGTATAGTATACATAGATGATGTATTAATATTTTCAGAATCAATAGAACAACATTTCAAACATTTAAGTATATTTTTAAAAGTAGTCAAGAAAAATGGATTAGTTGTTTCCGCCCCAAAAATGAAATTATTTCAAACTAAAGTAAGATTTTTAGGACATAATATATATCAAGGAACAATAAAACCAATTAATAGAGCTTTAGAATTTGCTACTAAATTTCCAGATGAAATAAAAGATAAAACTCAATTACAAAGATTTCTAGGATGCTTAAATTATATAGCAGATTTCAAAGTTTTTTGAAATTTTAATAAAATTTCATGGTATCGTGGTAATAAATTAAAGTGGTATCTTGCTAAATAAACACATTAGACCAAATAATAGAAGAAAATTCTACTGAAGAATTAGAATCTGTAGTTAGATTTTGTAATGCATTAGATATTTTATTTAATAAATTATCTGTAGTATTTATTTTTTGATTATTAATACTTTGTACTAAATCTTGCTCTTTTTCTCTTGTCAAACTTCTAGGTTGGAAATGAGGTGCTGATATATCATTTGGGAATTTTGAATCTGATTTCTTTAGAGTGTCAATTTTTGTATTTAATATTTCCATATGTTGAGATATCGTATGTAGAATTTGATTTGTATAATTATTTTGTTGATAAACCTTTTTAATATCTTCTAGGTTTATTGAATTATTTGTACTTGATTCAACTTCTCTTCCTTTTTTAAAAGGTGAGGCTATAATTTCTCCTTGTCCTATATTAATTTTTACTTCTTGTAATGGGGGGTGAATTGAAGTTAATATTTGATCGTCTTTTAATTTCCATTTTTTATATAAATTAGTTTGAACATTTATTTGAGAAGTATTATAAACATCATTAATTCCTATTTTTGAAATGTAAAATGATAACCAGGTAAAGAAAGGAAAATCAAATTTTCTTTTTTCTAATTCCTCTTTCCATTCTAGTATTAATTTTTCTTTATATTTTGATTCTAATTGAAAAAACCAAATTCTTTTTTCAGTATTTTCTTCATTATCAAAATCTTCTTGTAAATATTTATGATTTACTTTATATGGTTTACTTATAACATTTATTTCTCCTTTCATTTGAGAATGGGTCGGGGAATAATCTGATTGATTTTGATTTATAACTTCTGGAACAGGAGTTTTATACTTGAAAGTTGAAGTATTTTCAAATTCATTTCCTTGTAGATGAATATCTAATATGACTGAATTCAAAATGTGTGGATCTGTTAAGTCTATTGAAAAATTTGGAGCACAGTTAAAATATATTGGTCCATTACAAACATTTGTTTGAATCATTGATAATAAAGAAGGTTTATATCTTTTTATTCTAGTATCTCTTAATGCTAAATATATTGGAGCATCAACTCCTAGATGGAATAAAGGTTTTACAGCAATCTGTATTAAACCTATATGAATATATCGATATTCTTTTCTTAAATATTTTTGAATTGTGCTATGATTTAATAGTTGAATTGATTGATATTCTTCTTGAAGTGATATGGTTTCTTCATGAGTTTTAACTGATAAAGCAGTTTTGAAATCTAAAGGGCCTATTCTATAAATATGTTCTATTTTTTCTTCTGGAATAGTCCAATCTGAATTATTTATAGGCATATGATATTCATGACTTTGTATTACATTATCTCGTTTTGAATTTGATCCTATTTTTAATTGTCTAAAAAATGCAGCCATGTTTATTATTTTAATTAAATTTTTACCTAGACGGGAACAACCGAGCACTATGCCTGGAACATCCTTTTCTGGACTTACCAACGGACTAACAAGGCCTCAAGTCTTACCAACGTTTTCAGTAAAAGTTTAATAAAATAAATGATCATAAATGCATGAAATAGATAATTTAAATAGAGACTAAATTCAAAGTTAGAAAATGTAAAGACGAAGTCTAAATATGCTTATGCAAATAAGGGTGTGGCTCTGATACCACTTCTACCCAGGACTTTGCAATTAATCATATACGTTAACTAGAAGCAAATATTGTAGGGACTTAGAATGTAATAAACATAAATAGTTGGACTTACTTTTGATTGTTGAGTGCCTAACGGAAGCTTGTAATGAATTCCAACCTTGAAGACTTTATTGTAATGATGAAATCCACTTCTACAAAGACTTTGGAGTACAATGGTTATTTAGAGTGAGTGGGAATAGTAGGAGAACTTCGGAGTGAGTGGTAATCGTAGGAAAACTAAGACAAGTCTATTACAACTTCTGATATTTCTTCGCCGATGCCTGTCTTCTGAATCTTGAATCTATTTATAGAGGCTCGATTCTGCATTTCATTTGAATTTTGCTTTCATTTGTGGTGGCCGACATTCTTTTTCAAAAGTCGTTTGGATTTTGTCCACCGATGGGATCATCAAAAGGATCAAAAGTAGATTCGGATGATCCTGCTGGCTCCTCTATTTTGTCTTCTTCTTTTGGCTTTTGTAAATAATTCAAATATTCTTTCAGCATCTCGGGGTTCTGCATAATTTGCTTTATCAAAAAGTTACTGGCTGTTTCTTCGGATGCCATTTCCGTCACTTTTTCTTTGTCTCTTTTTGGAGTGACTGGTGTAGTGGGTGGAATGATTGTTGACTGTCTTGTCTCCTTTTGAGTAGTGGTAGTAGCTGTCCACTTTAATTTGTCTCCAGTGGTCAGGAATCTGATCACATTAGTTTGATCGCCAAATTCTTGATTGAATCCAGTCCACCATTTTATTTTGAATTCTCTTACCAATGACATTGGCAGAGGTTTTTCCAATACAAGCAAAACAATTACAACAAGAAATAATAGAATTAAAATTAAAAGATTTAGAAATAGAATCAAAATTAACATTAATAGATAATAATCAACCTTCAACCTCTAATACTAAAACAAACGAAATATCAATAGCAGAAAACCCAATAAAAGAAGACCAGTATATAAATACTATAGAAAAAATGACTTTTCAAAAATGGTTTGCACTAGTTACCATTACAGTAGAAGATTTCAAAGAAACCTTTGTAGCTCTAATAGATAGTGGAGCTGATACAAGTTGTATAAAAGAAGGAATAATTCCCACAAAATATTGTGAAAGAACAAAAGAAAAACTAATGGCAGCAAATGGAGAAGATTTAGAAGTAAAATATAAATTTACCAAAGGATCAATATGTAATAATGAATATTGTATTAGACATAATTTCATAATTGTAAACAATATAAATCATGATGTAATATTAGGTACACCTTTTTTAATTCAAATATATCCATTTCTAGTAAGTCATGAAGGAATTTCAGTAAATATAATGGGAAAAATTATTACCTTCAAATTTCTAACTCCAATAAGACAGAAAGAATTACAAACATTACAAACATCTTCAATATATAAAACAATAAATACCATCACTAAAGTACAACAACAAATAAACTATATTAAAGAAGAAAAAGCTTATTTAAAAATTGAAGAACAAATAAATGATATTAAAATACAAAAAAGAATATCAGAACTAGAAGAATTATTTCAAAAACAAATTTGTGCAGATATTCCTAATGCTTTTTGGGATAGAAAACAACACATGATAGAATTGCCCTATGAAAAAGACTTTGAAGAAAAAAACATTCCAACAAAAGCCAGACCAATACAAATGAACTCTGAGTTATTAGAATTTTGTAAGAAGGAAATAAAAATATTAATAGATAAAGAATTAATAACACCTTCAAAATCACCTTGGAGTTGTGCTGCATTTTATGTAATGAATCAAGCTGAAAAAGAAAGAGGAGTTCCAAGATTAGTAATAAATTATAAACCTTTAAATAAAGTATTACAATGGATTAGATATCCTATTCCTAATAAAAGAGATTTACTCAATAGATTATTTAATGCCAAGATATTTTCAAAGTTTGATATGAAATCTGGATATTGGCAAATAATAATAAATCCAAAAGATAGATATAAAACAGCATTTACAACACCTTTTGGACATTATGAATGGAAAGTTATGCCCAA